GGGTGCAGCACCACCAGTTGCAAAAAGCTACCTTTATTAGTCTCCACATAACTTTTAATTTCTCAGTGCCAAATACAATTTTACACGGTTCAGAGACCACTTTTCCAAATTCCAGTTTCATTGCTTTTTCTTTTTTCTCCCCAGCCTAGGACAGCAATCTGGCTGCACTTAAAACACTTCGCTTCCCATCTTTTATCCTTTGGAAGGGACTTGGGAGGTTTATTGCATACTGTGATCTTATCACCAGCTACTCCAGCACAGTCCTTGGCAGTAACTGGGGAGGGCGTCCGGGGTGTCCCGCGGCGGCTGTGATTGTACCGTGGCATCCTTGCAAGAGGAACCTTCCCACCACGAGGTTCTGCACCTATATATATATATATACACACCGTCCTTTTCAAGAAATGTTGGCAGTTTATTTCAGCACCAAATGGTCACTGGAAGATTTTGATGGGATATTTATGAAGGCTTTAACCTACTTTGTCATAGTAATGGTGACGTTACACATCATGCTGAAAGCCCTTCCAGCTAAAGACCGCTCAGAACTTGTAACGGTTACGGCAGCCACAGCAAAAAGAAATTAATCTCCTTTTTAAGTTACCTGTGTCATTAATTGCTGGCATAGCCAGCGGCTTTGGTAGCCCTAACGTATCAGTCACTCATGAAATAGGTTTAATGCCTGAGGAGCAATGCTGAGAAAGGAAATAAAGCGATCTGAAAATTATCTTCTTTCAATGTGTTCAGGATCTGTTCATGTGGGGGAGGATATAATTTCATGTTTTCCAGCATACGAATTCACCAAGATTAAACACCATGAGCTAAACCCTTGTCTGACGGAAGCCAACTTCTGTGGGATGATGTTGATTTACACCTGCCCAGGAGCTAATCCTCCTAATCCAGCCAGAAAGCTTTTTCAGATCTTTGAGAAAAATAAAACCAACAATGGCTATTATTTGCTCTATTAAAAAAAAATTAATATATAAATAGATTAAATGATACATGGGAGAAGAAAGAACTCCTGCTTCCAAAATCAAAGCTCAGGGCAATAACCAAAAAGAAACGGTATCGTTTAGGGGCAGATGAAAGAACATGTAAGTTCAGCATGATGTCATGGCTGTTTATGCAGTTAAATCGCTCTTTATCATACACCAGACACATAATGACTTTCTAAGGCTCCCACTGGACGGATGGTCCGTCTCTGTAATAAATGTTGACAAGTTTTATATAAAACTGTATATCATTTTCAATTCCCAGTGTAGCCATTTGAACCTGTGATTAATAACCTCGCAAATCTTATCTGTTTGAAAATAAGAGGAGCTGGGTTTGTTTCCTTCAGATTAGGGTTCAGGGCTTAACAACAGGAAAATAGCCTGCTGAGATCACTCTGGTTTTCATGGCACATAAAAGTAAAAACCAAGAAAATAGAATTTAAAAATACGCTAAACATTCATATCGCAAAGCAAATAAGATACTTCATGAGTCGTGATAACATTGATTCATGAAGTCTGTAACCAAACAATTGTTTTATATCAGGCAGAATAACTGTGAACAGAGAGATAGGCACTTGTACATTTAAATTAAAACACTAATTAGCCGATAAGATGTACCACAAAAAATACTATCCAGACTCAAACTTCTTGGTGGTTTGTCAAACTGAAATGAGAAAGCTTTAGGCAAAGATAGAAAGCGAAATGGGGCAAGGACTTCGGATTCCAGGTCCATGTTTGGCCTGGATACAGCTGATATCCAGGATTGCAATAAAAGGGAGAAAAAACAGAAAAAAAAATAAAAAGAACCACTACCACATTGCTCCAGTCCTTCCCTGATGTCTGAAAAATACCCAGAATTTTATTGCAAGAATATGCTGGTTTACAGTCGGCACAGAGACAAGAATAAATTAAAAGGTGGTGTTAAAATTACACAGGTGTAGGAGCTGAGTAGAGCAATCTGCTGAAGAGAGAATTTTCCTCTACAATCCACTTAAAATCTGCTTAGAGCACCGTATTTAAAGCATTCCTAGCATGGTTTGGGAAAAGGAGAGCTAGCTCTGAACCTCAACAGCTTTCTCCTCTTCTTCCCAATTCCCCCCCTAGTGCTTTGCACCAACAACCAAAGCCACGAAGGATGATGAAAAAATATTGCCGGGTCCTTTCCCCTGAAGAAAAATGACAGAAAAGAATTAAAAAGGAAGCACCCAATCTGAGTTTTCCCCCTGGCAAAAATCAAAGCGTATTCAGTTGAAATATGTCCTGCTTGTTTGGTTTTCAGCTCTCCAGTACATCAAAATTTTGCCTGTGAAATCAAGCACTTCTTGCCAAGATTTTAATTTATTTTTGAAATGTAGCTTTCTGTCCAAAATTGTCAGCAGATTTTCTCTTAAAATAGCTTAGAGTTATTGCAATATTAAAAAGAAAAATTACCTTGCCTTTGACTTCCACACAGTGGGCTGCTCACAGAGGCTGGAGATAAGCACTGAGAACTGAGTGCACTCTTTAATTATATCTCCTTAATATAAAACTTTTTGTCTGCCTTTAATTTTACGGCACTTTCATGCGAAGCCAGGGCAGTGAAGAAAACAGCCATTTCTCCTTATGCTTTTCATTAAGTGAAAACATCAAGGGTCACCAATAATTCACCTAACTGAGGAAAGGATGGAACTGGAAAATGAGGCGGATCATGGAAAAAATCGAATAATCTCTGGAGCAAAAGCAATTTATCCCTGCACTGGCAGATGGGTACAGACATGTGGATTTTCATATAACACTCATCTCATAGCAGGCACCTCCCAGGGCCTGGACCCAACCAGGTTAACACATTTGTCAGGGAAAAATTTTAAATCATTTTCATCAGTAAGAAAAAATTCAATCACTGATTTATTTCTCGTTTAAGAGTGGTGGTTTTCAACCATCAAACACCTCCTGCCAGCCTGAGAAATGCTCAGTAACCCCAGATGTCTCTCTGGTTGAAGGAAATTTTCTGCTTTGTGACAAAGGAAAAAATTGTTGATAAAAAATGGGGGGGAAAGTCAACAAAATCGATGAATCTTGATAGGTTTTTAGAATGGGAAAAAATAGCACATTCCAAGTAATTTCTGGTCAAAAATAAGTACATAGGAATAAAATTTAGTGTCACTGTCTTAATTCTTCCTCCTGTAGTATCTATATTGTCTAACAAGTAAAAATATTATGAAAAAAACAAGCTCAGTTTTAGTCAAGAGCAAGAAGGCAGCTATGTGAATTTGAATGATTTCCCCTGCCGTATACCACTTCAGAACACAAAGATCATAACATAAAAATAGATTGCAGAACGAGGCAAAGTGAGAAAGTCGATAAAAAATACTCAAAATGTTGTTTGCTTGATCATGACCATAGGACCAGAATCAGCCTCTGCATCACCATGGACTGCTAATAATACTGAACTGGGTTAAGGCTGGGGAAATAAACGCAACCTCTCTCTAATGCAAACATGTAACATGAAAGAAGCAAATGTGTTTGTCCACGAGAGGTCTCTAGAGCCCTGTATAATCACAGGATATTTCCATGTATTCCTCTTTTCCTGCTTCGAAATGAGATGGCTGTTTGGATGCTCATGTCCCCTCACCAGCTCATGGGGACCCCCATGTGTGCCCCCTCTGGATCCGGCACATTTTGGCCTTCCTCAGCCAGGAGGAGGATGGACTGGGCATCTGCAGGAGGGGTGGGCAAATGTCTCCAAAGGAGAGAAAGAAATAATTTCTGGCAGCAAGGGGTTGCATCCATGCTCTCCCTAGGCAGAAAAAAATATACATTAGCCCATGGCTTATGAGCGCAGCTAAGGAAAAGAGCAACTATTGCTTGCTTATGCTGTAGATAAACAGGGGAAAAGGTATTCTTCCTTGTGAAAACATCTTAGCTAGTACCGAACAGCCGGTCAGTCCGTGGTGGCACTGCTGGCACTGCAAGCTGGGGGGAGTATGGGGAAAGTGTGAAGTTCTTTTTTAATAGTTTTAACTGGAGACCTCTAATATACTGGAGGATATATGCAAGAGATGCTATCTTAGCAAATGAGCAGTTACTTCAGCAATTTCTCTGCTGAAATAATAGGAATTCCCTACAAGCTGTTGGCCTTTCTAGATTGCCAACATTTTTAAGAGCTTGCACAACTTTACTGTTGAAACATGAATATCGATTGTTGGCCTCCTTACAAATATTTGTCCTATTCTTGCAGAATAGTTATAGCAAGTGCATTTTGGTTTGGACCATTCAGAAATCAAATGAAATTACATTTTGGTTGTATAATTACCAACTATTTCTGCTTTAGTCAGTTACTGACCAGGAGGCAGAAGAATTACCAAATGTTTACAGGGCAAACACTTTTATATGTAAATCCCATGCTAAGATGTGTTTGTAGAACAAACATATTCTGAAAGTATTTATACATGATAGTGGACACATTTGGAGAATCTATTCTCAAAATTTCACAAGAAAAGATGATGTTTCTTTCTGTTGGACTAAAGGACAAGTTGCAAATTGTTGGCCAGGCCCATCATTTACTTCCTGTGGGATATTGTTTCTTCACTCTCAGTAACTGCTCTTCTGAGTACAGGTAAGAACAAAACCCAGTCTATATATATCATTCCCACAAAATATATCTCCTTGCTGAAGAGCTGGAACATTCTCAGCACCTGGCGATTCCTCTTACCACGCTGTGACCAAAGACTAAAGCAGAAGACACGCATTAAACAGCTCACTTCAAGCCAGCAGACTGTATTTTTGGAGCTCCTCATTTTTCTGTGTTAGTCACAGGGACTGGGATTGGCATAGAGAGTACGAATGGAGAACATGAAGGGAAGACAGAAGCTGCAACATGCTGAATTAACATTGGGTTTACCAAACACCTGAAAATCCCAGCAACCATTTTTTGGCTTGGCCAGCTTGGTAACTGTTAAGTCTCATCAGAGGATGTCATGAGGAGAGCAGATTTCTGCTCTAGGAGTTTTAAAGAGGAATAAAATAAGTCTTTACCTCTTCTAACACACATTTCACCAAATCCCCGTTGGCTGTCATGAGCAGGGCATAAATCTCCATAGCTAATACCTTTGCATATTCTTCCTTGGAAACCTTTTTCTTGCTTCCTTTACCAAAAATGGAAACATTTCCCTGAAAGATAAACACTGTGTGCCTGAGAGCGTACGCTTGGCACCCCCGCCCAGCCCCGGGCGAGCGGGGTCTCTGAGTCGGATCTCAGCACAGACTTCCTCAGATCATGGCCCCATGGAGCCTTCACAAAGACGGCAGCCCCCAGAAGATCTGGGCTTTGAACAATGAATGCCTTAAGTGTAGTTTTCAACTTTTTTTTTTTTTTTTTTTTTTCTGATTTGTGGACCATTAAAAATGTTCCAGCAGGGATACAGGATACCCTTTAAAATATGGAGATTTCTGTGTAGCATATGTGAACTCTTCTTCCTTACTCCCCTTTCATGGAGCCCCAGAGAGCTGCTGGAAGCGCCGGCCCTGGGAGATCAAACAAGCTCAGGCTCTGTGAATCAGACAGGGGAAACAAATTCAAGAGACAAGGTCCTCCCGGAAACACCCTCCCGAGTCGTTCAAGAAGACAAATTGGAAATGCAAGTCCCAGCAGACTGAAGGGGGAGAGACAGCAAAACCATCCCGAACTCATGAAAGGAGAAAGCAGCAACGTGAAGCGAGCAGAGGCGGCCAGGGTGATGCTTTTCTGTGGGACTGCATCACTGATAGATGCAGAGGAGCTTTCCACCAGGAGTGACTGTGCTCTGTCAACACAGCTCCAGCTAACGTGGAAGGCAACGAACACGTCTGGGTGCTTTCCTGCTCCTGGCACAAGTTGTCCATGTACTTGTACAAAATTGCCCAGGGTCCTTGCTCCGCAGTCAGTGTGAACTAATAAAGTGCCATAAACTATATCATTTTCTATGAAATATTACTAAATAATGCTAACAAACAGCATTTAAATCAGATGTCTGGTGTGAGTGAGGAAGGATTTAAATAAAATAAATGCAGAAAAGAATCTCCATGTAATGATTTGATATTTTTTCCTTGAGACAGACTCAGTCAAGTCCACGTAAAAGAGGGTGCAGAATCACAGCTCTTCAATGAGGTTGAGAAACCCTGAGAGGGAA